TGCCTGGCTGTTAGGACACCACTGACAGCTATAGTCAAGATGAAGGGAGAAAGGCCACTCAGAACAAGACCGCGAAATCCAGGGTTACAGTGCAAGGTTCATAGCTCAGATGACCTGTGCTCCAAGGTAAACTTAGAAAACCTTTGTAAGACACATCCGCCGTAAGACACAGACTTGCCGCATTGGACACCTTACGTAGGCCCGTAGGTCTGCCGCCCTCTGTCTCATGTGAGGTGCCTCAAAAAAGGCTGTTTCTTTCTTAAAAATCATTTTTTGAGGGCTCGTACAACTCTTATTACAATCCATCCACACACCCCTTGTGTGTCAAACACATTTGAACATTTGTTGAAAAGGCTGTTTCTGATGAGGCCACAGAAAGCGCTTTCCACTCAACGTATGCCGATTGGTGCTCAAGAAGAGCCTTTTCTGCTTCTGGAAGGCGGTTAATGATTCAGGCTACAATCTTACGAGTTCAGCTTTCCTCGGTAGCATCATCCGGTTCATGATTTTTCCATCTCGGTGGAGCCTTATGCTCTCTTTTCTCGGGAGCCAGTGCCTAACCTTGGTCTTTCTCAGCTCCTCCAGGGGCTCAGGGAAACCTCTGATCCACTAGGTAGGGGGCAACCATCTCGGGCTGGCTGAAATGATCATTGTGTGTGTGTGTGTGATAAAGCAATCATTCTTTCTATTATCATTACTCCCTTCGTTCTTCCTTTTAAAACATACGGTTCAGATGGATCCAGCTTTGTGTATCTTACCTGTGAGCAGGCTCTGACTTGGAATTGGTTCTGTTCCGTCATTGGCCAACACCACCGCTATGCTTTTCTCCAAATCCAAAGTCAAGCTCGGTCCAGCTGGGTCCTCGATTCCACATCCTGTTGTTTATACGACAAGGACCCCAATGTCCCCGGGCTCAGTTCCTGTGGTAGGGAGACTGATGCTCCCCAAAGACGTCCATGTTCCAATCTCCGGAACCTGGAAATCCGTTTGTTGACAGGGCTGAGGGGAATTCAGATCGCATTTGGGACTGAGGCTGCCAATTGGCTGATGGCGGAGCCTGGTTGTGTAACAGGTAAGTGCTTCCTTGCTGTCTGAAGCAGTGGTCATTTGTGCTCAACCAGTCGTTTCATGGGAGAATGATCTGGTGATCTGTTTCTGGAGAGATGACGGTCCAAGAAAGCCCGATGAGGGCAGTTCTACTCCATCACCCAGGACCTCTCTGGATCGAAATGGACTCAACAGGTTCTAGGAACCACAGTCAGTTAGCCTTAAAATAGAAAGCTTGTCTTGGATTATCTGGCTGGTCCCCGTAGGATCAAAAGACAACTGAAATGTGGAAGAGGTAGGCAGAAGAAGAGTCAGAGGGACATGAGAGGGGCTGGGCCCATTATTGCTGGCTTTGAGTATGGAGGAAGAGGGCCTGGAGCCAAAGGATCTAGATGGTTCTAGAAGCTGGAAAAGTCAGGGGAATGGGTTCTCTTCTGGAGTCTCCGGAAAGTAATGCCACCCTGCCAATACCTTGATTTTTGACTCGTGTTGGGCTTCTGACTGTTAAGACCCTTTAAGATAATACATTCTTAAAAAAAAAAAAGATAACACATTCATGTTGTTTTAAGCCATTGCATCTCTGGTAATTCGCCATCAGCTCACATCTATTGAGTGTCTACTATGGATTAGAAGGAATCCTTAACTTTATTAACCTTTCTGACAATTCTGCAAACGAAGCTGATTCTACAGTTGAGGAAACTGAGCCTCAAAAATTTGGTTGAGGTGTCAGTTGGTTATTATCAGTTTTTTCTTCACCAATGAAATTTTCTTTTCTTTTTTTAAAATGATTTTTAAAAATCATTTTATTGGGGGCTCATACAACTCTTATCACAACCCATCCATCTATCCATCCATCCATTGTGTCAAGCACATTTGTACATTTGTTGCCATCATCATTTTGAAAACATTTTCTTTCTACTTAAACCCTTGTCATCAGCTCCTCATTCCCCACCCCACCCTTCCCCCATCCTCCCTCCCTCCTGAACCCTTGATGATTTATAAATTATTTATAACAATGACGGAATTTGAGCCAAGCTCTATCCATACACAAGACATCACTCTGAAGTAGGGAGAATGATTTAAAAGATCTAAAACCTTTTAAAATGATTTGAAAGAACAGAATGCATACATCCTGGCCAACAGTTTTCTTCAAAGTCATCTCCTGCCATTAATTCTAGCAATTTCTTAACAAGCCTCTTTAGAAATTGGCTTTAGAGTTGATTGAGTCACAATCATATGGAAGTTTTTGTTTTCCTTTTAAAATGATCTAATTTGGTTGTCTAATTACATGGCTTCTCTTTGAATGGCTTCCCTAAATTAAGCCAATCCTCAAGGACAAAGACTTGCCACCAACAAAGTTAGTGTTAACAAAGAAAACAGAAAATCTGACTTCATACAAAGAATGAAGAGGCTTAGGACAAGCAAAGAACTCCTTAAGAAGAAGAACGACGTAGGAGACCTCGCATTACCTGACTTCAAAGCCTATTACCCAGCCCCGGTCACCAACCCAGCCTCATACTGATAGCTACACAGACCAGTGGAACAGAATAGCGAGCCCAGAATAAAGTCATCCACCTATAGCCAACTAAGGACTTTGACAAAGGGCCCCAAAGTATTAAAAGGGAGAGAGCTAATCTCTTCAACAAATGGTGCTAGCAAAATTGGATCTCTACCTACAGAAGAATGAACAGGTCCCATACCTCACCCCCCACACAAACATGTGCTCAAGATGGGTCAAACACCTAAATGCAAATCCCAGAGCAATAAAGTTCACCAATGAGACAATAGGGAAAAACTCGAGGGCTCTAGTGCAAGGGCTCTGTAGAAGGAAGCAGTAGAAGATACAGTGGATGAATGGGACCTTCTAATGAGAAGCTATTTATGCATATCAAAAGGCTTCATCAAAAGAATAAAAGGAGAGCCCGTAGACTGGGGAAAAACTTCAGCAATGGCACAAAGGACAAAGGACTAATTTCTAAAATCGATAGAACCCTGCAATCCCCCAACAAGAAAAAAAACAAAAACAAACAACAAATAAGTCAATCTTTAAAAAGTGAGCAAAATATATGAATATTCAATTCACCAAAAAGATACTCAAATGGTTAACACACACACACACACACACACACACACACACACACACACACACACAC